TCTTGCAACCTGGATAGCTGCCATGTGCTCTGCACAGGGTTGTACTCCTGGGGGTGGGAAGGTCACACCCCTGGGGGAGGGAAGAGAGGTTGTGTTAGTGCCAGAACCACTCCCCTAGGCCATAGAGTTCATGAAATCATAGAAAGTTAGGGTTGGAAGGGACCTCAGAAGATCATCTAGTCCAACCCTCTGCTCAAGGCAGGACCAGCGCCAACTAGACAATCCCAGCCAAGGGTTTGTCTAGCCAGGCTTTGAAAACCTCCACGGATGGAGCTTCCACCACCATTCTGGGTAACCTGTTCCAGTGTTTTACTACTCTCTTAGTGAGAAAATTCTTCCTAATACTTAACCTAAACTTCCCTTGCTGTATCTTGAGACTGTTGTTCCTTGTTCTGTCATCGGCCAAGACTGAGAACAGTTTAATTCCATCCTCTTTTGAGCTTTCACATAGTTGAAGGCTGCTATTAAATCCCACCTCAGTCTTCTTACCCCACAGCTGATGACACCAAGCTGTGGGGTAAAGTGAATACACCGGCAAGCAGGGACCGCATCCAGGCAGACCTGGATAGGTTAGAGAAGTGGGTGGATCTGAACAGGATGCGGTTCAACAAGGACAAGTGCAGGGTGCTGCACCTGGGGAGAGGGAACCAGCATTATGGTTATAGGTTAGGGGCTGACCCTCTCAGCAGCACAGAGGCAGAGAGGGATCTTGGAGTCATGATTGACTCCAGGATGAATATGAGTCGCCAATGCGACGAAGCAATAGGCAGAGCCAACCGCACCCTGTCATGCATCAACAGGGGCATCACTAACAGGTCCAGAGAGGTCTTGCTCCCCCTCTATGCGGTGCTGGTCAGGCCGCAGCTGGAGTACTGTGTCCAGTTCTGGGCGCCGCACTTCAAGAAGGACGTGGAGAACCTGGAGAGGGTCCAGAGGAGGGCCACTCGTATGGTTGAGGGCCTCCGTGGCCAGCCCTATGAGAAGAGGCTGAGGGACCTGAATCTCTTCAGTCTCCACAAGAGGAGACTGAGGGGGGATCTTGTGGCTGCCTACAACCTTATCAGGGGCCAGCAGCAGGGACTCGGGGAAAGTCTGTTCACCAGGGCCCCCCTTGGAGTCACCAGGAACAATGGCCACAAGCTGAGGGAGGATAGGTTTAGGTTAGATATTAGGAAGAACTACTTCACTGTAAGGGTGGCCAGAGCCTGGAATAGGCTTCCCAGAGAGGTGGTGCTCTCACCTTCCCTGGAGATCTTCAAGAGGAGACTGGATAGGCACCTGGCTGGGGTCTTGTGACCCCTGCCACCCCCAGTGCTCCTTCCTGCCCATGGTGGGGGGTCAGACTAGATGATCTGTCTAGGTCCCTTCCGACTCATTGATTCTATGATTCTCTTCTCTACACTAAACAAGCCCAGTCTTTCCTCATTAGTCATGTCCCCCAACCCCTTCACAATGTTTGTTGCCCTCTGCTGGATGCTTTACAATTTGTTCACATTCTTTCTGTAGTGGGGGACCAAAACTGAACACAGTACTCCAGATGTGGCATCACCAGCGCTGAACAGAGGAGAATAATCATTTCCCTTGACCTACTGGCAACACACCTACCAATACAACCCAGCATGCTATTAGCCTTCTTGGCAGCAAGTGCACACTGCTGGCTCATATTCATCTTATTGTCCACTGTAACCCCCAGGTCCTTTTCTGCAGTTCAGTGGGTGAAAAGTTAGTCCACATAGGTGGGTGGGAGGAGGGAACACTGCATCCTGAGATATTCAAGGGGTAACTTGGACAGCTCATCTGTGGAGTGTGGCCACACTGTAACACGGGTGAGCAAAACATGGCCTGCAGGATGGACTTTGTCTGACCCACAGCGGGTCTCTCAGTCTCGCCTAGCCCAGGCACCATCTGGCCTGTGGTGCACCCCGCCACCCTCTGGGCACACAGCAGGGCTGGGGTGGCTCCACAGCTGGACTGCCTTTCTAGGCAGCCTAGGCTGCAGCAGCATCTTCCAGCTGCCACCTCTGATGGCCCCAGCCCCATGGTATTGGTGGACTTGCACATACAACTCTGACCCCAGCCATCCCTGCACCTGCTCTGGACTCGCCTGCCCCTGTTGAGGAGCAGCAGAGGCAGCTGGCAGAAGTTGCTGCCCAGTACAGAGGAAATGCAGCCTGTCCCCTTCACTGCTGTCAGGCTCTTTTTGCTGAAGCCACCCGGAGCCCATGCCTGAGCTGCCCTGCGGTTCCTCTGCACTGCCACCGCTGCCCTGCTGTATGGCCTGGAGGTGATGGTAACAGTGGTGGAAAGGAGCTACAGGGCAGCCCAGGCATAGGCTCTGGGCAGCTTCACCAAGAAGGACCAAGCAGCAGTGAGGGGGAGGGGCCGCTTTTCCCCTATGCTGTGCAGAAGCTCAGTGTGGGTAGGTGATTTAGAGCAGGCATGGGGCGGGCAAGGGTGGGGTTGTGCACGTGGGTTCCGGCTGGTCCACTCTGGCCAGGGTGAGTCCAGAGCTGGCACGGGGCAGGCCTGGATCAAAGCTGGGGCTGTGCAGTGTTGGCGGTGGTGGGGAAGAGCCACAGAGCATGTAGGCTCCAAGCTGTTCCGGGGAGAGGGGTGGTGTCCAGTCAATGGTAGCTCCTCAGAACTGCCTATGTGGCCTGCAGACCCAAATAATTGCCCAGCCCTGCCTTAATGAAACATAAGCTGGGTAACATGGTTCAGAGATAAACCTACCCTGAAGTATGATGCTCAAGTAGAGCAGTGGGGTTCCTCAAGGCTCTGTCCTTGTGCCTATATTGTTCAACATCTTCCTTAATGATGAGGACATTGGTGTCAGAAGTGGACTGGCCAAGTTCACCAATTATACCAAACTTTGGGGTAAAGCATCCACACCTGAGGACAGGAGGGCGATCCATGCTGACCTTGACAGGCTCAGGAAATGGGTGGACAAGAACCTGATGGAGTTTAACACCGAAAAACGCAAGGTTCTCCACCTTGGGAGGAAAAATCTGCAGCATCCTTATAAGCTACGCTGGCTAGCACTACAGATGAAAGAGACTTGGGGGTCATGATTGACCACAAGATGAGCATGAGCCTTCAATGTGATGCTGCGGCTAGTAAAGCGAGCAAAACGCTGGCTTGCATCCATAGATGCTTCTCAAGCAAATCCCAGGACGGCATTCTCCCATTGTACTCGGCCTTGATGAGGCAGCAGCTGGAGTACTGCATCCAGTTTTGGGCTCCACAATTCAAAAAGGATGTGGAGAACCTTGAGAGAGTCCAGAGAAGAGCCACGTGCATGATCAGAGGTCAGGAAAACAGACCTTACAACAACAGGCTGAGATCTATGAGGCTCTTTAGCCTGGAAAAGTGCAGGCTGAGGGGCAATCTGATGGCCACGCATAAGTTTATCAGGGGTGTTCACCAGGATCTGAGGGAACATTTGTTCACCGGAGGCCCCCAAGGGACAACAAGGTCGAAAGGTTATAAAGTCCTGCAAGACTGTTTCAGGCTGGACATAAGGAAGAATTTCTTTACTGTCTGAGCCCCCAAGGTCTGGAATAGCCTGCCATTGCAGGTGGTGCAAGCACCTTCTCTGAACACCTTCAAGGGAAAATTGGATGTTTATCTTGCTGGGATCCTGTGACCCCAGCTGACTTCCAGCCCCTGGGGCAGGGGGCTGGACTTGATGATCTTCTGAGGCCCCTTCCAGCCCTAATGCCGATGAAATCTATGACAATTTGCGGTCAGATCAAGTGCATATGTTTGATTAAATGTAGACGTGCCTCCTGCTCACAGTTCTACATATTTTAACAATAAGAATTCATGAAGATAAGTCATGGAGTCCAGTACTAATAGTTTTCTTCTCTAAGAAATGGAATCCATTTACATAAATGTTAGGAAGAAATCAGTTCTCCTCATTCTGGTGATGTAACCTATGAGAGGTCTAAGATAATTGTGGAATGCCTTACTAAAAATAATGGTTGGGCAGTTGTTGGCAAAAGCTAAGTATGCAACCTCCCTCCAAGCTACCTGGCTGTTTCAAAATATGTTTCATGCACTTTAAAAGCCAGGGACAGGGTCCAGAACTTGTTCTAAGTCTGCTTCAGCAGTTGTAAGGACTTTCTCTGCAAGCAAGGGAGAGAGACAAGGCAAACATTATGACGGTTTATTCATTTATCAGGAAAGCCAGTTCATGGTATTGAAGCTTCCAACCAGGAGATCTTTACTATTATTATTATTATTAGGAGTGGAAGAAGAAAGAAACTCTATAGCAAAGCTACCTTCCAATTTGTACAAAATAACCTCTCTCTATTATAGGGAGTGGAGGGGGAAGGTAGAGAAAAAAACATCAGCAAGTTAAAGGTCAAGAGATCAGAAGTTCTGAACTGTTGCTCCAACATTTAGAAGGAATAGAGCAGGGGCGATCAATTATTTTGGGCAGAAGGCCACTTACTGAGTTTTGGCAAGCCATCGAGGGTCGCATGACAGGCAGCTCAGGGCAGATTAATATTAATTTTCTAAATGTTTTAGGGGCCCTGAGGGCTGGATAGAATGGCCTGGCGGGCCACATCTGGCTCCCAGGCCACATTTTGCCCACCCCTCGAATAAAGCATACACTGGAAGGTAAGGTGGCAGGTAGTCCTCCTTTGAAGTTCTGCACAGAAAGTTTCCATAGATCAAAGATAAATCCTCACAGCCTCCAAAAGCCAGAACTGTCCAAAGCATTTTAAATTCTAATACAGAGGGGATCTTCAGTGACAATACTTAGAGAAAAACAAGACATCATAAAATCAAGAATTCTTGACCCCAATTCCATAAAGGAATTTAAAGACAAAAATCCCCAAAAACACATGGATCCCCAGTTGAAGGCTTAAATATATATTTATTTCTACTGAAGCCAATAAAGTTCTGTGCAGAATAAGGATTTGCACTAGGGTACCTTCTCATGTGATAAAGATCTGCATCTTGCTATAAATTTACAATGCAGGTTTGCTTACCTGAGAACCACATTTGAGGCACAGCCATATATCAGAAGGCATTACTTGTTCACTGTCGCTTATTCGCCTCTCCTTCAAACATTCTGAACATATTGACCAAACATTCTGAGCTACTGCCCGCTTTACAAGATGTACATCCACTGCTTGACTTACATGTTGGCAGGTTAAGCCTACAAAGTAAGAGATAAAAGTGCATTAGCCATGCTATTAAAAGCAATATTTATTTATTTACTTACTTACTTACTTTAAAAGGCCAGTTTCTGACATCTAAGTATATTGGCAAGGTTTCAAGGGCTTTAAAAGCACAATATTCATACTTTATACACTCTTTTCTGCGGATCAGTGATCATTGTAAAAATGCATTTACTCAGAAACTATACCAAGCATCTAGATACACCTTAAATGCTTTCAGAAGCTGTACTCACAAACCCCTGCCCAGCTCAAAAGCTGAATACAAATATTACTCTGCAGGCAACTATTAGAACTGACTGATAAAAAAAACTGTTGCCTGCCATCAACATTAAAAAAAAATGCTAGTTACCAGCAAGCTAATATATTTTATAGTTACATAAACTATGCCTTACAAACTATGGTATTTTTGAAGGGTAAGATAAATTACATCCGGAAAATGGCATCTATTTGTACCTGCTTCTGAAGGATGTTATTGTTCCCTCTAACAATTAGCCACTCTCCCAACTAATAAAGACCCCAAAATCAAGAAGAATGTAACACCGCCATAAAAAGATACATCTAAGAACAAATATATTTAGCAACCATGTCAAGACTGTTACCATTACCTAAAATCTAGTTTTGTTGACATCAACAGCAGCATGCCCAACCTCTCCTACCTTAAAAAAGACCTCATTGTCTAATTCACTGCACCTCCACCTTCACAACAAGTATTTCCTTTAACCGTGAACACAGCCTCATGTTCATTAGTATTTGCACCAATTTACCAAGCACAGTATAATGACAACTCAGCAAGCCAGGGATATTTGTTTGTAACCATCTCTGTTACTAAATCTGACCAACATTTCACTGTTTCCACATGCATCTCCTGCTTTGCTGACTAATAAAAAGCATATGGACATTATTTTCTATCCTTAGGTTTGATGGTCAAATATTACACAAATATTGCATAATTTACCTGCAATGTCATCTGAAGAGTCTTCATCCTGTGGCTTATTAGGCCTTTTGTTTCTCTTGGTTTTCTCAGGGTTAGCCCTTGATGGATCTTTCACCCGCATCTGTTAATTACTGGGAAAGGAGAGGAAAATAAATATTATTTTATCTCCTTTATATTTCAAACAATTTTAAGGTCTGAACTCTGAAAGCATAGGGGTAGCAAGTCAAGTACTCACATTCAATAATTCACAGATTATATATAGTGTTTATTATATTTTTGCTTAGTTTTCAACTAGCTTCAGCTCCTTTGCACTGAAAAATATGAACATCTCAGAAATGTGCGCACACAGAAATGATATGATAAAATTGGAAGTACATGTATTGTGTAGCCACACAGTCAGCAGTCCCATAATTGTCTAAGAAAAAAAAGATCAAGCTGCTATGGAGTACTCACCACAGTTCACTAGCACCACTTCTGCCCATCTCTCCCATAGCCCCCCTCCCTTCTTCCCCCACTCCAGTGCTGTCTTCAGGATGAGGGGGGGAAAGGGAAGGGAAACTCCATCTGGGGTTTGCCCTGCCTGCACTGGAGTGGCAGTGCAGGTGGACTGGAGGCAAGATCTACCCAGCTTGCACACAGGGCTGAACAGAAATTAATGAAGGTGCTCCGCTTTGAAACACCTTCATCTGAACCCTCATTAAATAAGGGTTAATTTGTCACACAACTAGACACTTTTAAAGCGCTCTGCATCTGTGCACTTCTGTCAGGACACAGCTGTAGAGGGCTTTCAAGGGGCCGATTGCACAACAAATCACTTCTGGCAATACCCTTTCACATACTTGCAGCACTAATTCCTTATTTTAAAATCAGGATATTAATTAATGAATTTCAGATAAAAATTCATCACAGAACTTTACCACATAAATATCTTGCATTTCTTCAGATTGCTCTTTCAACATAGGTTATGATCTATATCTGACATGATGAATTTTCCATGAAGCAACAGTGACAGGAACTACCCCTCCAGCTGAAATCTCTGAGCACTAATTTCTATTTAGAAAAATCTGATTTACAGCAGTGGTGGTACAGTTTCCTTAGTACTCATCCTAGGAACAGGTCACTAATACAGATGCACACCTTTTAAAAGCCATTTGAAACACACACACACATCTAAAACATATAGATATTCTCACTCATGCAGTATACACATTTCTAAAGCTTTGAAAGCTAAGCCCATTTTCAGGAAAATAAAATCAGTTACAATCTCCTGCAGTTGAGCTATGCCTGGTTAAAGACCTACCTTAAAACATACCATATTTACTTGAGTATAAAATGACCCTGAATATAAGATGATCCCTCAATAATTAATTCCATTTATGGAAAATTTATAAATGTGTTATAATTCTCTAGGTGTTTGTGTGCATGTGTGTGTATATATATATAATTCCAGGCTCAGGGCCAGAGTCAGAGCCACAGCAGCTGCCTGTTACCCCCTCTACTTCATATGCAAATAGGAGATAGGCTTTTTTCCCTGATCAGAGGGAAAAAAAAACTTGCCTTATATTCAAGTAAATGTGGTAATATACAAGATCACAGGAAAGCAGAGACAGAAGGGATCTCACAAGGTCATCTAGTCCAGCCTCCTGCTCCAGGCTGGTGTGTCTCTTATTAAATAATCCCAACCAAGTGTCTAATTTGCTTTTGAAAGTTGCCAAGCATGCATATTCCTGGTTAGCCTCTTCCAATGCTTGACCACCCTCATAGTCAGAAAGTTGTTCCTTAATCTCCTGCCTAAATTTCCCATGCTATAGCTTGAGGCTGTTCCTCCTAATCATCTCTACTATGCCCACGAAGAAAAGTTTGTCTCCATCCCCTCTATAATCACCCTTCAGGTATTTCAAAGCTGTTACTGAATCCCTCCTCAGTCTTCTTTTCTCCAGACTAAATAATCCTAGTTCTTTCAGCCTTTTCCCCTTGACTCCCAGGCCCTGGATCATTTTTGTTACTCAGCACTGGACTCTTTCCAAACTGTCCACATCCTTCTTGAAGTGTGAGGCACAAAACTGGACACAGAACTACAGGTGAGCCTCACCAGTGCTGAAGAGAGTAAAAGAATCACTTCCCCTGATTTGTAAGTGACACTCCTGTCAACTCAGGATGCTGTTGGCCTTTTTTGCAACAAGAGCACACGATTGGCTCATATTCAGCTTATGGTCCACCATAACCCTTAGGTCCTTCTCTGCGATACTACAACCTAGCCAGTCATTCCCCAGCCCAAGCACAGCACTTATCTCATCTGACTGACTATAGACCATTTCTCCAATAGAGATCATTCTAGATCCTAGCCCTACTCTTGAGAGTGTCTGAAATTCCACACAGCTTGGTGCCATCCAAAAATGTGCTACGCTTACATTCAATCCCATCATCCAAATCATTAATGAAGATTTTAAACAACACCGGACCCAGAACAGACCCCAGGTAACCCCACTTTATACCTCCTCCAAGCTACACATTGAGTCATTGAGGGCTAGTTGCTGAGTATGATGACCCAACTAGTTATGCATCCACCTTAAAGTACTAATCTATACTTCCTTAGCTTGTTAATGAGAACCTTGTGGGAGCCAGTGCCATACCCTGGCTTTAGCAAGGCTTTCATCACATCCACTGCTCTCCCCCTCATCCACAGAGCTGTCACTTTATCATAGAAGGAAATCAGTTTGGTCAGGCATGCATGACTTGCTCTTGGTGAATCCATGCTGGCTGTTCCTGATTACATTGTTCTCTTCTAGGTGCGTCGCAATGGATTCCTTGAGGACCTGCTCCACAATTTTTCCAGGTATTGAGATCAGGCTGACTGATCTATAATTTTTTGGATCCTACTTCTTCTCTTTCTTAAAGATGGGCACTATATTTGCCCTTTTCCTGTCATCTGGGGCATCACCAAACCTCCATGGGTTCTCAAAGAGGATAGCCAATGGTTCCAAAATTATCTTAGGCAATCTCCTACGTCCACTGATAAGCTTTTTGTTTCATTCCTACTTTGAAATATACTGCTATTGATCTTAATGATAAAAATATTCCCTTTCCTTTCTCACCTCCATTGGCAAAGAATGGAATAGTTGACATTATTGATAGGGACCTACCTAATTCACACCAAGAGAAACCAATTGTCATGGCTTGGTCACAGCCTGAAGAGCTGATTTCACGGTTATTTTGCGGTGGCCCCAGCCCTTGGTACTGATTGGTAGACTCTAGGAGAAGGAGGGGGAAGGAAGTGGCTGCCATCTTGACTCCTGGGTGCCCTTTGTGCAGCCCCACCCCTCAGCAATGATTGGCATAGAGACATAAGGGGGCAGCTGCCCCCCCAACCAACATTTGCGCCACCCTACTAGAAGGCACCATCCCGGGGCAGGCTGTGAGGCTGGACCACAGAGGCAGTGAGAAATGCTGGCTCCCATTGGGAAGCCAGCATTTAATTTTTATTAAGGTTTTTTTTTTGGTTGACTTCCTGGGAAATCATAGCCAATGCCATTTTTGGTGACAATCATGGAGACCACCGTTTTTAGCACTTTTTGTGAAAAAGGCGAAAACACGATTCAAGTAGGTCCCTAATTATTGATATTCAAGATATCAGCATTGACATCTGCATGTCTCTTCTGAAATGACTGAAGCAATTTACACCTCAAAGCTACTGTTTCAGGTACACCATAAACCTAGGAAATATCTTTACATCAGTCAGACTACTTCATGCATTGAAGATTTTCTTTGCAACCATAACTAGAGATTTACTTCAAAATAAAAAAGCCATGTCTCTGCATAATAATAATAACAGATATGCCTGTAAGTCCCACCCAAACTGGTTTTTCATCACTTCTTTTCACCACTCCTCCCTTGTTCCTGAGAAAGGAAAAGCAGTATTACATGGTGGATCATATTACACTGTATTAAATGGCATACCATACTTGAATAGTAGAATATTAAGAATTCCCTGTAATTAAGGGTGGGATCCTGCAAATGCTTAACAGTAAAATTTTAAGCACGTAAGCAGTAGCACTGAATTCAGGAACATATATTAAGTTTCATGCACATCTGCCAAATCAGGACTTACGATCATATATCCATAATGTTATAATGATTTTTTTTAATTAATCTTAAGTGCACCAGTTTCCATACTATGCTTTATTAACCACTATTTTGGAACAATTTTACTGTCAACTCACCCCATTCAGATCAGACCATGAGGGAAGTTTTCCCTACTTTCTCTTCCTGGCCTTCAAACTACTTCCAAACATGGCCCAACTCATCATCAGAAGCAAAGTCCCCTCCGGCCAACAGACTCCAAATGGGATACAACCCTGCCTCAACAGTAAGTGCAAAATCTGTCAAAAGTAAACATCTTCAGTACCACAAGGGTGAACACCCCTCATAAGGCATCCATCACAATCCATGGTTCCTATACATGTACATCACAGAATATGGTGCATGTTATCCAGGGTACCAGATGCCCTAATGGAAAGTACATGGGCAAAACTAGACAGGAACTATGCACCAGAATGAACTGTCACAGAAAAAAATAAGCGGAAGAGATGCATGAAAACCAGTAGGAGCACGCTTTTCACAGAACAACCACTCCCCCTCCAATGTTGCAACTCTTGTACTCAAGGAGAATTTATAAAACACCGCTAAAAGATGGTCCTGGGAACAGAAAATCCTAGCTCTTCTGGACCATAAAAAAAAATCTGGATTTATATAGACAATGACATTATGGCTCATTACAACCTAACGAATACGGCCCTCCACTTCACAGGTAATAACTCCCTCCTTCATGAATAGTCTCCCTCTGCCACTAACCTAGATTGTCTATTTTACTGAGTTAATTTCGTCTTAAGCAATGTTCCTGTTAACACCTTTTCACTCCTATTTCACAGCCCTCCTCCACCCCTCCAAGCAGACTGTTTGTATTTGCGTGCATAGCGTCTTTTCTGTGACAGTGAGCTCAGCCTGTGTAGTCTTCTTCCTCAGACCTGAAGACAAGCACTTGAAGCCCAGAAGTTTGGCCAACTGCACTCCAAACTCTGCAACTATTCCAATAAAAAGTATCCAAAAAAACCTTGCTACTCAGACATGA